GGGGACGTCGTTCATTATTAGGGGGAAGGGATTATATCCCCTTAAATCTTAAACCTTCTATCCTAAATCCTATACCCCAAGCTCTAATTCCTTTACGATGTGGATACGACTCCTTCAATATGAAGGTACCTGGGCCCTTTGGATTAAGGAAGGGTCTGTGCTTTACTTGGATGCCAGGCGCCGGAGCTTGGTCGAGACTCTCTTCGCGTCCTGGGCCCAGTGGTGCTGGTTTCGCGCTTTAGGGTTTGCCAGGACCGCCCGGAAATAAGGTCTAGGTGGGTTCTATTTGTGGGACATTCGGGCTCTGTGGAGGATACTTGGGAGGTCTAGTTGGGACTTCGGGCTTAGAGCTTAGGATGTGGGCTTTACATTGGGTTAAGAGCTTAAGGCAGGCTTAGTGTTTTAGAATCATGAGGTACCCCTAAACCCTGAACCCTCACTAGTAGTTTCGAGTGAATTCCCCTCTTTCTCTTCCATGTGATTCTCCATTCTTGGGAGCTTGCAAATTGTCCTTACATCTGGTCTACAAGTGAGCTATAATCTAAATTCCTGAAAGGGGGTATATAGGGGAGTATTATAGGGCTTATTAAAGGGGATACTAGGAGTTTAGAATGTAGCTCATATGAGTTTTAGGTTCCAAAATCTAGTTTGAGATCTGGGCACCCACCTGCCCCTTACTTGGGTGGTTTGACCCTAAGTCAGGAGTTTAGATTATGGCTCAAAGGATCCTAACATCTGGGAAGGTCATGGCTGACTGTTTCGGGCTTTAAGCCGGCGGTTGGTGGAGTTGGGTCCTGTCCGTGTACTGGGCGCATTGGAGATTCTTAGCGGAGACAGAAGTGAAGGCCTTTGCTATGTTTTGGATCTTTTTGGTGTAGGGTTTGGGGTTTAGGGGCTGAGCATGATCTTCTTGACAGAGCCCCCAGACCCCGAGGCCCTATGGTTCCATCTTGGTTTGCGCAATACATAAAGCTTGGAATGCACTTCATCTTATCAAACACATATCAAGAATAAAGCCTCCATCCAGGCCGCCACATCCCTAACCCTGACGCAGAACCTGAAGAATGAGGGAGACGAAGGCTCTGCACCAGTTCTCCGTCACCCGCCATCATTGCTCCATCAGAAGCACGAGGAAAGTAGGAGAGTCCTCATTCTAGCAACCCCGACCATTGCGTTCCAAGGGGACTAGACTAGACAGAACGACTTGAGAAGGTAGGGGTACTTAGAACTGTCGAAAAAAGCTATAAGCTCATCACTCAGGCAGGTCATTCCTAAAGCTCTACGCAGAATCCTACTCATGGCGGCCTCCCTGGTTAGAACTTAAACCCTGAACCCAAAATCCCAAGTAATCCCGACATGCCTATCCTAAACCCTATCTCCTCAGCCCCAAACGCTACATCCCACACCCTCGAATCCCGACCAGACGCAGCCCCTTAAGGCGGCAGCTGTGAAAGTCCTCAGCATCGTGCAGGGCTGGCTGGGCTCTGAGGAAATGAATGCCCAGCTTTTCTTACTTTGTCTTACTGAGGAGGTTTAAGGTTAGAATTTGAGGTTTAAGGTTAAGGATTTAGGGATTTAGGGATGTACGGATTTGGGGATTTAGGGTCAGGGGTTCAGGGTTTACGTGGAACAGCACTGTATTTTAGGCTTCTACAGTAGGCAGGAACATCCAGGTCATGAAAATCCAAGGATGTAGGCCCTAAGCGGGGAAACACAAGTTATAACCTGGTAACATCCTTTTGTTTCTTCTAGGTACTCCTATGGAGAACACGCCTGTTTAGCAATGTGTCTACCTAGCCTGTAAGTCCTAAATTCCTATGTTATCCTAATTTGCAGGTCATTCTCGATGAGCGTGTCCATTCGAGTCTCCATTATCACTGATTATAAGCCGCATATACAGGTACCCTAAGCCCCAAATCCAAGACCTTAAACCCTAACCCTATAACTCCTATAAAATCTACTCAACCCTACCCTAAACCCTAAACACCTATATGACTTGTACCCTAAACCCGTAGCCCTTACCTGCCCTACCGAGGGTTTTTGGGGCTCAAGTTTTAGGATGGGGTTTAGGGGTTAGGATTGAGGGTTTAAGAGTTTAAGGTTCAGGCTTGCGGTCTCAGGTTTTAGGATTGAGGCGTGGGGTTCCGGCTTAGGGTTTATACCCACCCAGCATCAGGTAGGTAACAGTGCAGTTATTGTTGTAAGTAGCTCCTATATCAACCTCGGTACGGATGAGGGCAGCATCCAGCCTAAACCCTAAAGCCCCAAACCAAGATGTTGTTCCTGGCCCTTATCATCAGCATCACTGTCGGCCCTGCAAACCACAAACACAACAGCCCCAAAGCCTGCAAGCTCTGAAATAATCTGAGACCCTAT